GAACGAGTTCTGCAGCCCTGCTTGAGGCGACACAGGACACAGGGGTGGGGGACTCCAAGGGTTGGGGGTGGGAGCAGTCAGAGGAGTCAGCCTTCCCCAGCTAGAGACGGAGGGGGGAGTTGGTGCTGACTCTAGGCACCTCTCCCAGGGCCTGAGCCCAAAGAGACAACCTTACCTCCCCCCGGCAATCTTGCACACTTACCTCAGGCCGAGGCTCTAGAGGCCGTTTGGGGCCACCGCCCGCCTGGGGACCGGCATCCAACCGGCAGCCGGGCCAGGTGCCGGGGCTAACGGGGTCGGCTCGGGGCCTCCCCGCTGCGCTCTGCCGGGCCCCGGCCGGGGCCCCGCTGGCGGCCCCGCCCAGCCTAGCGCCCGGCTTGAGTGCACCGCCCGGCCGACTCCAGCTGTTCCGGATGCGGGGCGGGGGCCGGAGGGGGCGGGCGGCGGCTGGGACTTCGCTCTCAGGAACCCGCAGAGAGGACGGGGTTAGAGTCAGGCTGGGGACTGGGAACCCTATGGCCTGGACTCTGTAGATCAGGGAAGCATTTGATCTACATTTGAATGTGTTTGATTTCGAATACGTATATTTGTGTGTGGTTCTTGGTGTGTACATGTATGTAAACAGATGTGAACCTGTGGATATTTAGGAGTGTTTGAAACCTTACCTACGTCTTTTATTTCCCCGAGGCACCCAAGGGAGCTGTGACCCCAGGATCTTTTCTCTCTTGCTCTGGTTGGTGTGGGGCCTCTGGCCCCACCACCCTGATTTTCTATTTCTGCCCCTGGAGAAAGGAGGGGAAGAAAAGGGTGTTGGAGCCAAGGGAGAGAGAACTGTTTCCTTCCCCACGCACAGCCCCAGCCCTTTCTCTGGCTTTGTTTGTAAACTCCTGGGCAGCCAGTGCCATCCAGCAACCCTGCTTGGTCTAAAGAGTGCCAAGAGAGGCCAGTGTGGAGGACTGTGGCCCAGTCCAGAGGCTGGGATGGGACCTCTGGGACTTTGTGCTCCCCATACCTGTTCCAGGGAGGGAACAAGCCAAGGTGGGCTGTGGGGCAGGGGGCAGGGTCTCTCCCTGGATGCCTCCAGCATAGGGTTCTTAGTGCATCAGAGATCTATTGCTTTATCTCCCTTTTAGTTATTTGTTTGGAACGTGGCTTACAGCTCTCCAGAGTAAAAGGGATAGTGTAAGGAGAAAGGATTCTTTTTTGGGAGCCCCAGTGCCTGCCCCAGGCCTGCGTGGGAATGTTGGGAAGAGCTGTTTACCCTCTTCCTCATCTTTGTACTGCATTTTGGGGGGAGGGAAGGGGCTCAGAGGCAAGAATGGTGAATTCTCGGTTTCCCCCAGAGCTGCAGAAACATCCCCAACGCAGGCCTGTCTTTAGTGCATCAGCTGCCCTGGGAGCCAGGGGGTGATGCTGGGCCTAGCGATCGTGGAGTTGGAGTCCAGAGGTGGTGGAGAGGGACTTGAGGGAGAGGGCGCCAGGGAGCAGGACCTTGCCGGCTGGGAAGCTCTGGGGCCATGAAGGGTCTGCCCTCTCCTCTCGCTTCCTGCTCTCAGGATCTTGCCCCAGCCTAAGGCCCAGAGCCCTTTTGTGTCATAACCCCCAAAGCCCTGACCCAGAGCCTCAGGCAAGTCACATCCCCCATGCTAGCAGAGGAGGCCCCAGTAGATCAGGGAACAGTGACTCATCGGTCCCTATCTTGAGAGGGGCTTCCTCCCATACCACCGCCCTCCCCCCAATTCTTCCTGTCTTCACACCTGGTATTGGCCTGCAGGACAGGATCATAGGATAACCCTGCTACTGCCCATCTCCCAGTCCCTCAGGACCAGAGAAGTTTAGGGTTGCTGTGAGACTGCCAGGAAGATAAGGAATGTAATTGAGGAGCAGGGGGGCAGGAGCATAGAATTCTTTCACTGGGGCCCTGTTTCCTGGGACCTTTAGTCTTCAGCCACATCACGTCAAAGTTGACAGAACATTCCAAAATCTTCCGCTATATTACCTCTTCGACCTGCTGTTGCCAAACCTCTTATTCCCACCCTGGCCAGCAGCACCTACAGCTCAATCCTGGGGCTTTGTTTTTTTGGCCTAATTGGTTGAACTCCCGGAGAACTAGCTCTGACCTGGCACAGCTAGAAGTTCAGGGGACACCTGGTGGTGCCACCCCCATTTTGTTGTTTAGGGTAACCTGCCTCCATCACCTCATCCAAACCGTCTTCAAAAACCAGCCCAACTTCTCCATGGACCTTTTCTGTACCTTTTCAGTTTCCCCCAACTCCAGACCCCAGTATGTGGGTGGCTGGTATCTTCAGAACTCCTGGGAGCCCAAATCCACCAGCTGCCTATACCCCTCCTGCAAAGCAAGGAGCTGTGTTTTCGGTTTTCAGTCAGACTCACTCCCTCTCCTGCCAGACAAACTGGGAGGTCCTTGAGGGCAGGGACCTTGATCTGGGGATTCCACCCACCCTCGCTGACCAGGCAAGCACCCGGCACCCTCCGTGTATTGGTTAAATGAATTTTTATTGAGCAAAGAGAGTACAAATGATTGTGTATTGTGGAGGGAAAAGGCTTAGTCCTTGACTGTCCCCCTTCAGGAGTTTTGGAGATTGTGAAAATTGGAAGACTGAGTAATTCAGGGGCAGTGGTGTGAGAGTTGGTAGAAAGGAACTCTCCTTCGCTCTCCAGGATCTAACCTTTTGCCCAACCCCCTTCCTGGGATCCCATGCTGGGTTAGGAAGACATTGTGGGGTCCCCAATCCCCCATCAGCTGAGCCAGTGTCATCTCCCCAGGAGCTGGAAGTAGCTCGTTCCTTGAGTCTGCTCCACAGAGAGAATGTCTGTCTTCAGAGCCTGATCTATATTGTATCCCGACTCCTGAATTTGTGCTTGCCGCCTATACCTCCAGAGTCCAGCCTTATTCCATCTCCAGTAGAAGGGGAAAGGATTATTTTGCCAAAAATCTGCTTTCCCCCTAGTTTAGCGAATATTCCAAAGAGGAAGAAAAGAGCATTGCGTGTATTGTCAGGATAAGGGGACCCTACAGAGCCAAACAAAATGAGTTGTTTCTTAGCACAGGAGAATAATTCAAGTCAACCCCCAAAGGCTCCATCAACTTTATCCAGATTGTTTTGGTAGCCTCATTCGTTTCCAGATTATTTGTGTAAGCACCAGTGTTGGCCCTCAGGCTAGAGCGTCCCTCAGAAAAAAGGTTCTGACACCGCTTGAAATGAGTTAACTTGACCACCAATTGGGATCATTTTTGTCCCCGGGGACCTGCTACTCTCTCTCCTTGTGGAATTTAGAGAGTGTTTCTTCTGCTATAGAAGTAGACTCCGATAGATTGCCTCCTGCCACCCTGGCTGAACTGGGACTGCCCACTTGGTTTTTATATTCTGCCCTGGGCCACCATCTGCAGTAACAACAACAATAACCATGACAATAAACACCATAAGCCCTTACTGCGTGAGCCTGGCTTCAGGCTAAGAATTTTATTCATTTCATATATTACTCACAACCCTGTGAGGTAGCTACTGCAATTACCCTGATTTTACATATAAGGAAAATGAGGCCCAGAGAAGTTAAGTAACCCACCCAAAGTCACACAGTTTTGGAGTCATTAGGATTTGAGGACTAGTTTTTCTGACTCAAGTACTAACCCAGAACCATGGGGTTCTTGACCAGAGGCCCCCCAAGGACTCTTTGAATGGGTTTCAGGGGCTCTGCCGATCCTGGAATTGTGTAAAATTATGTATGTGAGCCCAAGTAGGCACATTTTTCCCCAGGGGCAATATTACATAATATTGGATTCTCAAAAGGGGTTGGAGATTCAGAAAAAGGTTAAGGTCAGAAGCAGGCCAATAGGGGAAGGAGAACGGGAAGGGGGAGGGAAGCTGCCTCCTCCAAGTCCTGGGGAGTAGGGAGCCAATTGCTCTGCAATTCAGGCTGGGCTGCAAGCCTGCTTCTGGGCCTGCCCTGCTTTCTCTGGTCAGTCCCAGCTATCAGGACCTTATCTGGCAAAGAGAAATGGGGGCAGAGTCTGTGGCCAGGGCACTCCTTTGCGGAGCACCCCTCCCTGCTTCTCCCCCCCCTACTTCTTTTGTGAACTAAACTCCTTTAGAGCCTAGGGACAAGGTGACCCCCCCCCCAAGAGCCAACCTCTTCCAGGCACTTCAATCCTGCAGAGGGGGATTGACTGCCCTTTGGAAGTGTGGGGGACATAGACAGACCACTGAGTGATAGAGACAGATAAAGAGGGGATGAGACATTTCCCAGGAGGTGCTCAAGGCCCAGGTGACCATAAGAGGGCAGCCTCCAGAACAGCCCTCTTTTTGGGTCCCAAGCCTTTCCCCCCCTCATCCTGAGACAGGAAGGGTTTCTATCACTTCCCTTCCTGGCACCTCTTGCTCTGTTTTTAGTGCTCAACTCATTTGGGGAAACCTTCCCTGCCCTGTTCAGTTTCTCTGTGCTCCTTAGCACACACCTCCTTGATGTCACATCAGATTGCCAAGGACCTGCTGGTTTGTCTCTCTGCCCTTCTGCCTCTCCACCTGGCTGTGAACTTGGGGAGGAAAGAACCTGAATCTCCTCTCCATGCCCCATGCCAGCCTGACATATACCAGAGTCTCCTTGTGCATTTATTAAATGAATTAACTAAATGAATGTAAAGAGACAAAAAGAGAGAGGCAGGCAGGGACCTCAGTCTGTGCCCCAGAGAGAGGACCAGGAGTGTGAGGGGAGGGTAGGTACATTGTTCTGCCAGCTGCGTGCAGATGTGTGAGGCACCCCTGCTGCTCCAACATGCACAGAGGGGTACAGAAACCTCATTCTTTAATGCTTTTTGGTCATGGCAGGGGGTGGCTCCTGGGTTCTGGACCCAGCTGTGGTATGGCCTAACTCAGGAATGGAGTGTTTTCTCTCTCTTTCTCTCTTTCTCTCTCTCTCTCTCTCTCTCTCTCTCTCTCTCTCTCTCTCTCCCTCCCTCCCTCCCTCCCTCCAAACAGAATTGAGCCCCTATCATGTTTGGGGCCCAGAAACAGAGAGGAAGAACAGACAGAAGATGGAGGGTAGTGAGCAGGCAGGAGTGGCAGGAAACAGACACCCCCACCCTAGTAGCCTAGGAGACTGTGAAGAGGGTAAAGATAAGTGTGTGTGTGTGTGTGTGTGTGTGTGTGTGTGTGTGTGTCCGGTTGTGTCCTAGTGGAGGTGGCATTTGAGTTAAGCCTTGAAAAATCAGGAGCATTGGGTAGGTACAGAAGTGGGGAGCACTCTCCAGGTAAGGGGGACAGCCAAGCGGGATGTTGGAAGTGCCAGCCCAGAAGGAGAAACAGAGTGACCCGGTATTTCTTCCCTCTCTCACCTGGGTAGCAAGCTACTGGGATGGGGTGAAATACCTGGTCCTTTGTGCACCCCCCCTCCCCAGTCAGGTCTGCAGCCTGAGGCAGGTGCTGGTGGGCTCCTGAGAGAGGCTGCAGAGGTGGGGGAGTTGGGGTGAGGCTGCATCTCCAGTCCTTGCTGCTCCTGGGCCTGTAATGGGGGTTCCATTCTCCTTGCTGCTCTCAGAAGCTCCAACAACTGACCTTTTCTCTTACTAACCTAGTTGGCCCAGGAACTCCTGGGTCTGAGCAAAACCCCTGTTATTGGTAAGTGCCAGGCATTCCACAGAGGTCTCACTGCCTGTGGGAGGGCCCCAGGCTTCAGGCTGGGCAGCAGGGCCCTACCTTAGACCAGGTGAATATGCAGAGGGCCCCAAGGAGGGAGAGAGCGGAGGGAGATGGAGGGGCAGGCCACCCCTCTAGGCGGGCACGGGAAAGGCCTGAGTCAGGCTTCTCATAATAAACTGCATGTGAATAATTCAGCAGCCATGCGGGGGCTCATTGCATTAGCACTGCCACCCACACCGCCCCTCCCGCGAGTAGTTCCAGCTGAGGGAAGTGGGGGACTCACTGACATGCCTGAGGAGGGGAGCCAGGATAGAAGACCACCCTGCTCGCTTGTATCCTGAATTTTCCCCGGGCCAAGTCCCACAAGACTCCCTGGTCCTGGAACCTTTGGGGCCCCACTGATCAGAGGGCCACCTGCTGGGCAGTGCTGTCCCAGCTAAGCCGCCCTCAAGACCCCCAGCAAGAGAAGACTAGGCCACGGGACCAAGGCCAGACTAAGGGAGGCGCTGGGGAGGAGGGGTTCAGACTTGCGGGAACCAACTGCCCTAGTGCCCAACCGCACAGAGAACATGGGCAATGTGGCTCTAAGCAAAGTGGAGAAGGCAGGCTCAGACCTGTGCTCAGAGCACGGATGCTGTGGGGCTGTTTTGTACGGGCCCGGATTTTCCTTGCTATCGAAGTGAAGCTCCGGGGAAGTCACAGGACCCTCCACCCACTCTGGACCCCCAAGTTCCCTGGCCTCTGACTCTGCATCTCCCCGACCGGCGAATCCAGTTCTGGCTGTGCCAGCCGCTGGTGTTGCCGGGCCCTGCGCTCACCAGGGCGAGGAGCGGAGCCTCAGGTTACTGGGCCTGGGAGAGAGGCTAAGTGCATAACGCCCGCAGTCTTATTTCGTTTGAGCGGAACCAGTTCCCTTTGGCTTTTCCATTTCCGGCTTGTTCCCGTGTTCCTGATCTTGAGGGATCACCTTCCTTCCATTTCACATCTACTGCTGCTTATTTCCTCCAGCTCTTCCCCACGTACCTTCACTTCCATTAGGTCGACCCACCCTCTTTTCAGCAGCCCGCTCCTATTCCCAGGGAGCCTCCCTCGCAGCCCCTACCTGGTGAACTTTGGTGGAGACCCTCGCACTGGCTCCGCTGGCCCTCCCTGGGCTGGCGCGGACAGGGACCCCAGCCTGGTCTTCACCAGTGTCCCAGGCAGCCAGACCAGAAGCCCCACTGAAGGCCGCTTTTGTGCCCCTCCCCTGCGCCGCCCTCCCCGTCATCTCGAAGAATCTTCGTCTTCGGCCGCTGCTTCCTCCTCTACACATTCTTTCTCATTCGTTTTTTCTTCGTTTGGTAAGTGCGGTCTGCCGCAGCACCTGGCCCCTGGGGATGCCTGGGTTTACTCTGCCCCTCTTGAGGCCTCAGCTGGGGCTCTGGGTTCGTGGCTAAACTTCGAACAGCTTTCACAGCAGGGCGGCTCGGGTGACTCCGAAGAGGCAGATGAGATGGGCTAATGGCACCTTGACTTCAGATGGCCCCACCACCGGCGGGTTGTGTGATCTTGGGTAAGTCTCTTAATCTTTCTGAGCCTTGATAGGAGTAAAAGTCAGGAGATTTAGGGAAAGTGATGAGAAACTAAGTCTTTTCACTTATTTCGGAAAGGGGTTGCCTGCTTTGGGGCCTAAGGAGGAAGTGAGATTCGCGGGAATTGTAGGTTTGAAATGGCCATTTATTTTAACGAATATTTCGGGGAGCACCTGGAAGCTGCTTTTTATTTTTCTTTTTTGCAGTTGACGGGGTGCCAGGTGTTAGAAACCTCTCCAATCCTGACCACGTCTCCGTTTTACCTAAGAGAAACTGAGGTTAAGATCGCGACGCACTGGTCAGCGCCACAGGTGGGGCTCCGACCCAAATCTTGCTCGGAGGCGCTCTCGAGTTTAAGCCCAGGACTGGTGAATCGAGCCCTAGCCAGCTCGCCGAGACCTAAGCCGGGAGGGTTGGTGCTGAACCTCCTAGAGTTCTCATTTTTCCGTGCTGGAAAAGCTTTGAAATTCTTATTTTCAGGTAAACGATTTTGGTGGCTCCCAGAGAAGGATGCAAATAAGACCCAAATGAGGGGCTTCCGGCGTGTTATGGGAAAGCCCCGGGGGTTGGACCAGGAGGGCAACTTTTCTCAACGTAGAAGCCATCGCTCCCCGATTTTACCTCCTTCGAGTCTGTCCATCCGGTCATAAGTCTGTCAGGCCTGTGGGGCCTACGTCCCCGCTAGTCCTGGACGGAAGGGGAGAATGCGCATGGCCCTACCCAGGGCAGAAGTATGGTCAGTCGATCCTTCCCCTTTCCCGGAGTGCCTCTAAGTTAGAGTCATCCTAGCTGCAGAGAGGGGACTGGCTGCGGGGGGCGCAGGGTTGGGCAGGCTGGAGGCCGGGGCCTGGGATCCCCTGGCCGGGCCGGGAGAGGCTGGAATCCGGCTCCCAGGTGACCCCATCCCTAGTTCCCGCTGCAAAGTCGCCCGGTGGCAACCCCGACAGACCACGCGTCCCTCGACACAAGTCCCATTACATTGTATTTATGTTTCACTTTATTGTTTTTTTTTCCCCTCTCTTATTATTGTCTCACTCTGGGGGAGGCAAAGGATATAATATATTCATCTTTATTATACCAAATCTGTGTGAAGCATTTAATAAAACGCTGTTTCCACACAGCCAGGGATATTAGTGTGAGCTACTCTTAAGTTAATGCTCTGGTACTTCGGGCACCTCCGCCACAGCGCCTGCTGCTGGCGGGCGGGGGGAAGCACAGGCCTTGGTCGGTGCACCCCCGCCCACCCCGAGCTCTGGGTGCGCTTCCCAGACCCGGCGTCCATCCTAGCGGTCTCTCAGTGACCTTTGGGCCCCAGCCTGGAAGAAGGGGCTAGGAAGAGCCGAGTTCAAGTGTTGTCGTCGTCCCCCCCTCCCCCCTTCTAACCCACTGTGGGCCTTGGCTTGCGCCTGTGAACATGGAAAAAATTCTATAGGCGCTTTCCTCTCAGGGCTCTTTCTAGGGAGGCTGAAGAGGCGAAGCCGGTGGATAGGGCTTTATAAACAGGAAAGAAAAAAGTCAGGATTTGTCAGGACGAAGTGGATGAAGGCCAGAAGCACGGAGGCCACAAAAGTGGTTCTAGGCAACAAAGACACCCAAGCTGGACCCCAGCCTAGACTGGGGAGCAGGGTGCGACTACAGTTTAAGCAGAGCCCAGAAGGTTTCAGCATGCCTAGACCTCACCCCCAGCAGATGAATGTGACTAAACTTTATAAAGATCTTGGCTTGTCACAGTAGGCCCTTCCATGGTCCTCCCTGTAGGCAGAGAGTCTTTGTAGTCCAATTTACAGCTAGCAAATTGAGCCTCAGAAAGGTCCAGTGGTTTGAGATGACTCAGCTGGGAAGTAGCACAGTGTCTTCAGATGCCACTTCCCTCCCTCCCCAGCCCTCCTGCTCCCCACCTCCCCCCTCATCCCAACCCACCCCCATCACCAGTGTGTTCTATGGCCTATAAGCTTTATATTCTGCTTTCTACATACTTGCACGTGTGCGCACACACACACACACACACACACACACACACACACACACACACACCCCTACATGGAAATGCCCATGAGAAGGACAGTCATGTGACTTTCCATATCCAGGCTCACTGCCCAATGTCCTTTACAGCCTACTGTCTGGGCCCCAATTTGGGCACATCAACCTTACTTAGGCCCTTGTACCAGTGCTGTGGGGGACAGTTGGGGGGCAACTCCTCAGGCCAGAAGGAGGTGTTGTGCAGGAAAGGATTGGAGTGGGCATGTATGTCCCCCTACTTAGGAAAAACACTCTCCCATATTTCTGTCCTCTGCCCCCATCACCCGCTCCTTGGGGGCTGTATTACATCACTCCACATCCTATAGGCAGCTGATGAGAGCTTCTGTGGAGGCTAAGGGTACTTGAGAAATCTGACAGCTCCCACCTGGGGCTGGGGGAGAAGGGCACAGACTCATTGTATGGCAGGGCTGGGACTAGGGTGAGGCAAGTGAGGTGCCTAGGGTGCACAATTTAAAAAGGTACTTGCTCTCAGTGTTGTGTATGACTTCTTAAATTTTGTGCTTAGGCATCTAGCTCACTTGCTTTACCCTAGACCCAGCTCTGTTGTGTGGTCCCAGATGTGAAATCACAACTGCCAAGCAGGGATAGAGAGGATGGTTTCAGCTCATCCTTGTGAATGGCTTTCTGAAGGGTAGAATATAAACAATGGGAAGAGTTGCCTTGTGTGGGAGTGAGCTCCCACAACAGGTGGAGTGTGCTTAGGGCCTGCTGAGGAGGTGAATCATCAGTCATATTGCCATCATCATTATCTTCACGATTTAACTATCGCTTACTTTGTGCCAAGTAAGAGCTTTATCCACATTGTGTCATGTAATGTATATGAATGTGTTTTGGCCGAGGATGGGATATTAATCTCTGACCTTCTGGGTCTTTTCCAGTTCTGGGAGTCTGTTGTTGCATGAAACAAAAGGCACTTCTGTTTATTTTAGTTGATTCATTGCATTATAATTATTATTTGGACTCGTCTCATGGTTTACTCATAGGTAAGCTTTTTGAGGGCAGGGACTGTGTCTAATCTCATTTCTTTTTTCTTTTTACTATTCCCTCTGCTCTTCCATGCCCCACACAGGACTAAGCACATAGCATATGTTTAATAAATGTGTATCAAACAAACACATGAGTCTTCAAAGGCTGTCTGTCTACCTGGTCATCTACTTTCCAGGCTGTGACCAGCAGAGCCATTAGGGTGGCCACTGGGAAAGCTAGTGCCACCTCTGCAGTCATTGTTCTCCTTCCCTGACAGCTGAGCTGAATTCAGGCTTGCCTTTGTAGAGCCTCCTCCCACACTGTGCTTCCAGCCCTATTCTAGTCAGTGGGTAAGACAAGGCCAGCCCAGGCTCCACCTGTGCAGAAGGAGCTCAAGTCTCATACTGAACATACTCATGAAAAACCATTCTGGTGGGGGAGAGAGAGCCTCTGGAAGATCAGAGCAGGGAGGAGCCCTATAGCCAGAGAAGTCTGCCTGGCAGAGCTGGGACTAGAGCTAGGCCTTGAAGGATGGAAAGGATTGAGAGGTTGGAGGGAAGAAATAGAGTATTCCAGAATGGAGTTAGAGGGAGCAACAAGAGCAAAGGAGAAGAGGCAAGACAGCTCACAACAGTGTTGGGAGACAGGTAGCCTGGCCTGGCTAGAACACCAGAGGAAGATAAGTGGGGAAAGACATTTGTGGAATGCCTTGAATGTCCAGGCCTGAGCCAGAGACCAGAAATTCAGGGTCAGAAGTCAGGATCCACATCCTAGGGCCCAGAAACCAGAATCTAGAACTCAGAGTCCACGGTCAAATTCCAGAATCCAGCCTTGTCCAAAGCTGTCTTTTTGTTTGGTGCAAGATGCCACCATTAGGACTCTAAATTCAAGGTGCATGAGCTTATTAGGTAACAAGATAGACTCTTCTGGTTGGCTTGGCTTAGGAAACACAAGGCCTAGCACAAGCCCAGAGCCAGCCTGGCCCGCTTGAAGCCTGCCCCCCAAGACTAACATGATCAGCTGTTCTAGGTCCTCCCAAATCAGAACCTGAAGTCTGGCATCATCTGCAGCCCAGGTACCCCTGAGCTGGGGCAGGAGTCGCCCACCAATATATTATACAACTTCCTACTGACCCCCAGCTCCCATCCTTCCCTCTACCCTCTGATACAGGTAGGATCTGGGCTTCTAGGCTGGACCCAGCTGGGCTAGGCCGCTGGGGGGTGGAGCCATGGTGCCTGCGGTGGTGCCAACCCAGCCAGCATGTAGGCGTTGCTGTGCCGGCCTGTCGAGGAGCGCAAGCCTGCCAAGGAGCCGGAGCGCTGTGCCGCGTGGAGGGTGTCAGGGGTGGTATTGTCAGCGCACAAATGCTCAACTTTATGTACTTTTAACTAGAGGTGTAACAGATGGCCCCGTTTCTGTCCAAGCCAGGGAGACTGGTGCCCATTCCGGCTGCAGCCAATCAATCCCGCCACTCTGGGGGGAGCTACAAGCTGGGCTGGGAGGCCTGGAGCCAGCAATCGCGCAAGGCTGTCTGTTCGGGCTGGCCCAGCACTGCCTTCGCCAGCCGCTCAGCCGTGGGCCTGGGGAGGTAGGAGGGCAGGCAAGTGGCAGCCATGCCCGGCAGCCTAGTCAGAGGCTTGTCTGGGACAGACAGTCTGGACCCACCCATCAGGACCCAAATGGCCAATGAAGACATTCAAGTCCCCAACCTGCCTTACTTTGTCCTTTCTCCTGTGATTTCTGCTCAGTACCTAAGCCCTAAATCTCTAGCCTCAAAATTCTCCAGATCCATAACCCTGCAGTGTCCTGTGTGGTAGACACCAGATGTTCCTCAGGACTAGGGGTGAGTAGCAGTGCCTTTGGGAGAAACATTCATGGGACTGCAGAAGACTTCAAGAAATGCCCAAGACAGCCAGAAAAGAAGAGAAAGCAGCAGGATCCAGGGATCCCAGAGCTGGGGGAAGTTATCAATTAATCTATTGATACATTCATACAGTCGGTCAATGAACACTTAATGAAAGCCTACTATGTGCCAAGTCCTTTGCTGGGCACTGGGTCAAAATCATAAACAGGACATGCTATTGCTTCCTCTCAGATGCCCTTCCCTGACTTCACTTCTAGTGAAAATTCCTACTGGTCTTTTAATACCCAGCTCAGAGCCAGCTCCAGCACAGGAACTAGGCCCAGGGAGCATGCAGGGACTGAGGCAGCTCTGGGGACCAACTTCTCTCTCATGGCAAGGTCAAAAGCCACCCCACAGTGTGTCTCTTTTCTCTGTGTATCTCTCTTCTCATTAATATTAGTAAAATTAATGGTGATGATGATGATTATAATAGGAGGAGGAGAAAAGATAAGTTCTGAGCACTTACTAAATGCCATACACATTGGTGTCCATGCTTATCTCAGTTAATCCTCTGAAGAACATTGTGAGTTAACTGATATCTTATCCCCATTTTACATGAGAACACCGAGGCTCAGAGGTTAGGTACCCTGCCCCAGGTTCAAGCCAGGAAGTGCAGGAGTCAGGGCTCTCACTCAGGTCAGCCTCCAGAGCCCCAACTCATAACTGCTTCTGACCCCCATGCAGCCCCAAGAGCTTCCTGGATTTCCTCATAATTTCTCATAACCGTGACTTGCATTTGACCAGCTGGCCTCTCTGAATCTTTCTCTACATCACCTCTGTTAACTGCTCTAGTCTCTTTGTATTTCATAGTTCAACTTCCCAGGAGAGGACATCAGATTGGCCCAGCTCATCTTTTAATGACAGGCCACATCATAAGGAGCTGCCCAATCAAAGAGCTGGCTAGGAGTGGGGCTGAGAGTAGCCACTGACCAGCTCTTTTTCATAGAACCAAGTATAGAAATGGTATCATACTAGGGAGGAGATGGAAAGTGCTACAAGAATGGGGCAAGAAAAGGATGAGGGGAGGCTTCATGGAAGATATTTTGTGGTTTTAGCTTTGAAATAAGCATAGGATTTGGGGAGCAGAGTTGGAAACAAGGATTTCCTGAAGAAAGGAAGAGAGTGAACACAGGTATAGGGTAGGAATAGCATGAGCTATGATCAAGGGC